ATGTATCATATAGGTACATAGATATTTCGCGTTTTATTTACATCCACTAATTACATACAAATGTTTCGAGAAACAAGTTGAGTAGTCTGGAATTGTTTTATTTCTCCAATGCTCAACGGAAAAGATATTTTAAATAACGTTCACCAAATAAGCGCTGCTCTTTACATGCATATTCATACATAAACCGCGCGCTTGGTAGTGAGAATGTAGCGTTTGCATTCTGACACATACTATTAGGCGCGCAGTTTACGAATGTACATTTATCTAAAGACTCATATCAGTTGGGTAAATATTATTTAATATAAAGTACAGAGTTGAATATATGTTAATAAAAAATATTTTATAAAAACATATATAAACAGGATAATAAAAAAAACTGTATAAACAAACTCGGGAACAAGATGAACAACTTTTTCCCGGGGAGAACGGTTAAAAATACCTCGTTCAGATTCGAAAAGGTCGCGAAGAATGTGGGGGATGATGAGTTTGTACAAAATTGAAAAGACATGTAATCCACGGAATCCACCAAACGTGATTTATTGGTGATTGTAGCATGATAGCGCGCGTATGATACAGAGTGCCATTGTGGTAACTAGCAGCAATTGTTCCAAGTTTCCACCGTCGACCTCACTGAATTCACAGTGTTTCTACATAGAAGCTCGTACACGTCCAAAGATTTCTGGCGTGTCTCATATCGACGCTGCCGCAACCGCTGGCCTTCCAACGATCATACTACAATCACCAATAAAACACGTTTTGTGGATTACATGTCTCTTTATTTTTGTTCAAACTCTCCATCTCATATCCTTGATCGACCAACCTTTAAAATCTAAAAAAAGTATTTCTGACCGCGCGTTCCCCCCCGGGAAAAAGTTGTTCATCTTGTTTCCCTGAACTGCGCGCTTTGTAAACACTAGAACTCCGGAGGTTAACCTATATTTATTTCTACCAAAGAAATCTTAGAAAAGAAAAGAGAAAACAAATTAATAAAATTAATTATCTATGTAATTTCAATAAAAGTCAGGGAACATTTTAGAAATTAAGATGTTTTAAAAATGAGTAATAATAAATTATTTAAAAATGTTAAACGGGTCATTTCTCTCTCTCGACTCCCTTGGTTAATTATGTAGAAGACTTTTTAAATCTGAAAATTCAATATATACGAAAAATTTTTATAAAAACATCGCATTCGATTGGTAAAACAGTCGACTTCAGCATCCCTGTCCAATCTCAACTTCTTTCTCTTGCATTCGTCACGAATATGCGGCTAAGTTCGATAGCTGCACAAAATGCGAAGTAAATATATTTGTGAAACGTTATTTCTCCTGCAGCTATAGATGGAATAACATCGAAAACTTTAAGCTGATTTATTGTTGTCGCGTAACTAGTTTGCGCAAAATAACCGCCGTTCACCGAACTTCTGTTAACGGGTAACTTTCGCTAGTTCTTGTCGCTCGATATAGTGACTCCTGAGTAACGAGCGACCTGGACTTGCGAATGATTAGTTTTTTCGGATGAATTTCCAGTGAAGTAATAACTCGCAACTTTTCCGGTGACTATTAATATCGATTTTCTTTACAAATGACAAGCGAGAATTATTATATTCGTTAAAAATAAAAAATCTCTTTGTTTTTAAAACTATTAACGGTAATTGTGTACATGGAGGGGACCACCTTGGATGACCTTGATATTTTAGTATGTTGTCACCCTTTTGAGTGACCTTCAGAAAGTTTTAGCTCGCGCTCGTTGTTATTCAAAAGTTATTTTAGCAGCGAAGTAGTTATAATATTAAAGCAGTTATTAAAGCATCGAATCGTTGCTTTCTGCTCGAAACGAGGTCTACAATTGTTGTTCTATGAACATCGTATAATAATTTCACAGAAAATGCGTGGACTCGTGAATGGTGGAGCTGAAAACAACGATTTACTGCTTTAAAAAACTTTTCTTTGTTCATGCATGTACTATTTCGACATACCTATATATTACCCAGGTAGCAGACAGTCGTCATAATGACGTGATTCTAACGTCATATTATGACGTATGTTACGTCATTTATTCCTAAAGTTTAACGTAAAAATGACGTATTTTTCACGGTCCTAAGTCACATCCCAACGACGTCATTTTCTGACGTTTTATTGACGGCAAAAATAGGTCTAATGTACGACATACCGGTTTCTAGAAATGTTTTTTATGAAATTAAAATTTTAAAATGTCTACTTGATAAACGTTTACAAAAAAATGTTCTTTTTCTTTATTTAAAAAAAAAAAAGCTTTTTTAACTGTTTCGTTACATGCCATGTGCGTATAGCCGCTCTCAAGGCGGTCACCCATCCTAGCACAGTACCGCGTCCAAGTCGCTTGACTTCGATGATCCAGTGGACAGTGACGATCTTCTCACCCTGATGTTTCCTTATTAACTGTACTTGTCTATAACAGGTACATCTTTAAAGTGTTCAAAAATCTTGTAATGATATCTTTTTGATAGTTATAACACTGCATGAAATAGTTGTCATAAAACTATAATTACACACGCAACTAGATCCACTTATACCATAAATTCACCACGTCGTTCATAAAGTTACGAAACACTTTATAAATGTAGGAATATTCCTGTGAAAAATACTGTGAAAAATGTCATTTTTACGTTAAACTTTAGGAATAAATGACGTAACATGCGTCATAAAATGACGTAAGAATCACGTCATTATGACGACTGTCTGCTATCTGGGTAGTCAATTAAACGTCTATATAATGTCATTTTACAAAGTCTTTTTGACGTATTAAAACATGACGTTAAATATATGTCACATAATCGACGAATGACGTTACTGACCAATTATGACCAAATATTGACGTCAAAATGACGAGTGCTTGCTACCTGGGTAGTCATTTTTGCCTTTTAATACTCAAAATAACTGCTACATTTCTCAAATTTTTTTGTTAATAACTTTTGACTAAACAACGAGTGCGGGCTAAAACCTTTTGAAGGTCACTCGGGAGGGTGACCTTGACAACATACTCAAATATCAAGGTCATCCAAGGTGGTTTCCTCCATGTACATAATTACTCTATTAATAATAAATATTTTTTATTCGCGACCTAACTAGCCATCTTTTTTAATTATTATCGTCACGAGCATTGGTTTTGGTCCTTCTCACTCGATTAATATTTACTGATTATGGCGATGAATATTATCACGTGCTTCAGTGGTCGAATTGGTAAAGACGCCCGTCACGGATTGGAGGGAGGTGCAAGTTCGAACATTGGTTTGAGTGATATTTTTCGCAAACTTTACAGTAATTTAAAAAATAATACTTATTAGCATCAAAAGTTATACATTGATTGAGAAGAACTAAAACCAATGATTGAAACGTTGTGACAATTATTATAATTAACCTTTAACTGCACGGGCAGGGACCCCAAACGCTATTTTTTGTCATGTATTTTTTCAGTTATGCGAGATATTAGTTATGTGTTTTATTTATTATGTATACTCTAAAATTTATATATCTTACACTACTTTTAGAGAAAACAAAGAAACTTGTGGGGCTCTTTGCAGATCTCACCTGTGGCTATATGTTACTAAAAATAACGCGTGTATTTTACAGGTTAATAAAGATGGCCAGTTAGGTCGAATATGTAATAAATCTTTGTTGTTCATTATTTATTACTGACAAAGTAAAAGTTTCTGATTTGGTTTAAAACTACTGTTTTATTACAGTTTTAATATAACATGTAAATATGTATTGTATTCTTAATATGTAATATTCTATTCTATTTATGTACCCACTAAAAAAATCTTTAACGTTGACACGTTATCGATTAATCGTTTTAATTTTGCAATATATAAACTTTGCAAATGGCATATTATTAAGTCTTTCTGTGATAAATTAATACCTTTAATATGACAATATAAAATATAATTGATTGATATGATATTGAAACATAATAACAACATTAACTTTGTGTAATAGGGTTTACAAATTATATTATTGCTGTTATATGTTTATATAACTTGATTAAAAAATTCTTTATTTTATTAAATTAAAAATATACATTAGAATTCATGATCTTGAATAGCATTAACATGCACAATAAAAATAGATTAAATGTTTGATTTTATACGTCAAATACGTAGTAGAGAATATTTGTCGTTCCCCACATATTCCGACTTTCAGTAAAAACAGATACCGGATTGTTAAAATTAAAAGCTTTATTCCGGGAAAGAGCTTCGCAACTCCGGGGAAACGAATGGTCAGCGTTCCCAGCTGATTTCACAAACATTAAAATCAGCGGCGCGGGATCGTGTTGTCGCCAGAATTTACGAGCGTGTTTGGCCGGATTGTGTATTTTTCGGTTTGACGGGCGGGGAACTCTCTATACAGCCACACCGACGCGCGCGGATTTGCAGTCGTTACAACCGTATCCACAACTTCGCTCTCATACTCCTTGAACTCGACGTCAACAGCGTACGTTGAGCAACACATTCGACTGTGGTGGTGCTTGAGAATACGAGGGGGCCGAAGTCTGTCATTTGATCTTTCGGTCCCATGACGCCAAGCCGTGCTCGTACACGTGCTATTGTAGCGAGACATTGTACAAATGAATGGCTCCGGGGAATAGTAGGGCATTAATCCATCGAAATTGAACGTCTACCTTATTTTTCGCTATCGCTCTTCCGGAGAACTGCTCGTTCCGATCGAAAAATTATTGTTTGCGTTGACATTATTACGTTTAAATTGCTCACGCTTGCGATATTTGAACATATGTGAAATATATAGCGGAAAAATAAAATGTAATTAAAAAGAGACTGCAGTTTATTTAAAATCAGAATTTCGTGTTAAATGTATTACGCGACGTATTATATGACATTACATTATGGTATAAAATATAAAAGTGGAAGTCTAAAAGTATAAATATTAGGTACTAAAAACTATACCAAACTGTACAAAAAAAAAAAGAACAAATTGGTTAGCGTGCGCGCATTTATTTGTTTTCAGGTCTCAAGCTCAGTCGGTCAATCGCCGTGCGGGGCCGTGAAAGAAGAGAAGGGTATGCAACGATTAGAGGCCATGTTGTACGTTCTGGACCAAATTAACGCCGATATAGAACTTCTGCCGAACACAACGCTGGGTGCTCTCATCCTCGATTCTTGCAGCAGCGACACTTACGCTCTGGATCAAAGTATGGAATTCGTCAGATCGTACATGAATCAAGTAAGTCACAATTTCTTCAACATGATGATACGTACTGCTTGTAAGTTTCGCGCAGTACTTACGCGATAATTTCGTAAAATTTCAAAGTGCTAAAAAGAGCTGGCGCGATAAGCGTTCTTCAAGTTAAGTTAATTTCTTTAGCAGTTTATGAGAGGAAAAGACAGCTCTGTATTTTGTAAAAAGTTACGGTTTATTATATATATTTTATCAAATTAGGGTAGTTTGATTCGCGTTCGTGATAAAAAAGAACGACAATATGGTCTTCAAATAAATTTAACGATCGATACTCGTTTTCCGATTGTTCTCGCGCGCGATGGTGCAGTCTGTTGCGCGTGAACTCTGCCACGGGGCTTATTTCGTTAAATTACGCAGAAATTACGTTATTTCACGTCGGTTTTGAGATAAAAGATTCAATCTATTTGACATAAAACAGCGGTTGTGCAAGGAAGGAATTTATGACCCCGATGAGCTTGCGAGAATACGGATAGAAATTTGATCGAGAGGAACGTTCAGGACGCATGATCGCACATTACTTCCTCCTTTTCTTCCTTCTATCTTCCAGACATTTATTCTCTTTATAGACTCAATAACAAGCTTTATCGTGTCGAAGCTCAATCGCCAATATGTTTTCGAGCTAGAGAACACTCTCCGTTCCCCAAGGTGCAATAAGAAATTTACTGATTCGAGGAAAGGTTCGAAAATTTGCATTTCTTTATTGATCATTATCACAAATCTGTTTGGAACAATTAACTTTTATTTTTCTCTCACTTTTATTATTTCCTTTTTTAATACAAAATATTTTACACGTTAAGACACGTGATAAAACATAATATCTTAAGATTCTAATTTAACAAAATACATTGAAAATTGAAGAATTACACTGTTAAAGGTTAGAGGATGTTTAAATCAATATATGAGTTACATTTATTTTGTTATTTTTAACTACCATGTGCGTCAAAATTTATTAATTTGAAACAAAATAGGATTATTTAACGCCATCGCGCCATTGGTTTAGTCAAATTAACATTGTTTTAGTTAAATTAACTACATATTGAGTAGGAGCAGTGGAATAGTTAAAAATTACTTAAAGTTGAGTTCAATTTAACCCTATGAATTTAACAGTGTATATAAAATTTGATCTATTAGTATTTTCACGTTGAATAGATCGTAAGTGCGTCAAACAGAATTTATAGCCGAAAGAGAATAAACACGGCTTACGGTACACTTTACGCCATGATTTCAGTCAAAACTACTAGATCGAAAAACATTGAAGAAGCTGCAGGGCATAGGAGCACAACTGAGAATTTCTGAGCTTTCAGCCTCGGGGTAGTTACCTTTTCCGAATTTTCGTGCTTTATACGTCAGCACTATATCATGGCTTGGGTCCTTAGCGAAATGAGCGTTTCACGAAAATAGATATGGTTGTTCGCGTGCCATCGTTCTGGGAGTTACCCAAACTTCAGCAACAGTAACGATGCGCTGCTTTAGTCGGTTATCCATGCCGGAACGGTGGCGAGAGACGATTGGATAACATCTTCCCCAAAGCTGATTAAATGCAACAACTCCTAGTGCTCTCGCCACTCCTGGTCCGATGAACAATCGCCGTGAGAACTTGTTTTAATTGGAATATTCACGGATATATTATCTTATATTTTAGAATTATTACGTGCAACAATATAATTTAAAATTGAATCTTTTTCCATACTGGAATACGCAAAAAGTTTTTTTTATATATATAATCTCTTTCTAAATAAATTTAATTTGTGATTTTTTACGAACTAAATTTTTTTCCGTAAAATATAAATTTATTTCATAAATTTTTAATTAAACCAAAAATACCTTATTTAAAAATACAATAGTACGTGTAATTATTTTAATTTATGATTTTTTTACAAATTACATTTTTTAATTTGTAAAATATTTTCATGAATCTTAAATTAAACTAAAAATATCATAATGCAATTATCGTGTAATACATTGGGTTCATAAATAAGTTTCGCTATACAAAATTACTGAATCACTTCCTCAAACCAGATCCACGATATCTAATTCTTTTATCTGCTGCAATTAAGTTACATTTATAAATTAGTTTTTTATACTGTTTTATATGTTTTTTTAAGTATAAAAATTTCGTTTGTAAACTGCAACTTTTTTGAATTTATGAATTAACTCAATAAGATGCACAAATTCTTGTTTACTTAATAAAGCCCATAATAAAAGGCTTTATTGAAAAATTCCCACACGGAGAGAATTTTCTCGTAAAATTTACCCTGAAATCATGGTAGCTGCGTGGGACAACATGTACCACTAAGAATTTTATGCGAGTTATTCTGATTAATATTTACCATAATAAAAAATATTAATATCTATTACATTAAAATATAAAATATGTTTGATTAATTTTATTAAAATATATCTAGAAAATTTCCTAGATATAATTTTTCAAAATTTACCAATCTGCTTGGTAATTTTTATCACGTTGTTTGTAAAATGTCTTTTGTATATTTTAAAAATTCCTTGGTTGCCAAGTTGTCCCAAGTTTGTAGTGAATTTAAGAGTAAAATATAACAAAAAATTCTCTCCGTGCATTCATTCGCCATTGCCGAAAATGTCAATGGCGATAAATGGCGAATTGCCTAAGGAGATTTTCTCCATTGAATTCCTTATTCGAAAGGAAATGGGGATTTTTTAATGGGGATTAAATGGAAAAAATCTTCTTAAGCAAATCTCCATTCATCGCCAATGACATTTTTTTGCAATGGCGAATGAATGGCATTTTTCCATTATTTGTGCAATTACTGGAAAGAAGTTTAATGTTAGAACAACAAACTTGCGCGAATCATTTAGCTATAATAGCTAGATATAAGTTTTGCAAAGGCTGCTTTTTGCTACGCAGAGGGATCTGCTTAGTAAATAACAGTTTGTTTTATTCGATGAATTGCATATAATTTTATAATATATTAGACTGATACACGTTATGATAATGTTAATGATACATGATGTTATTAATGTTATGTATATAGATATTAATGATGTATATATATAGACAAAGATATATATGGCAAAATTCGCGAAATAAATGGGTATGTCCGGTTGATGTGGTTATCCTATGAAATATTTTGAGTATAGTATCTCGAAATATTTCGGGAATGATGCTGCCAGCAACTTAATTAAAAACTGCGCGAGAGTAGAAATTAAGTCGTTGTAATATAGATACAATACGCATCACACATTTGTTCTCAAAATTTATTCTCATCTAATTATGAATAATATTCTTCCTTTTTGTTGTTTCCTTTTTTGTAAATTAACCATTGTTTATAATAGTTTGGCTTAAAATCAATTTTGTATATTTCCATATAAATTTAAGAAAAACAGATGTTATACCTGTAACTGTTGTACGAGCTATGTTACTAAAATAGATATAACGATAAAATTGCAGTTTTTATTAAATTTTTTTCTATATTCATTTATCTGTAACATTTAATGTTAAAATTTATTTTAGTTTTTATACATCATGCAGGTCAAACAGTTTGCAGTAAAGAGAGTGTCATATCTGCTGCAAATAGAATTAACTCGCGAAATTAATTTTTCTGTAAACAAATATAGAGTTGGACAAAACCAGCTACCGTTTGTTTCGCGGAGCAAAGAAGGATCAAAGCGATAATATAATTAAAAAAATATAATTAAATAATATTGTTGCATGTAAACGTCAATAGAGATCGTAGGTATATGTATGTAGAGCTACAAATGAATGTTCTACACAATAGAGAAGAAATGTAAGAAAGTTCACGTAAATATATCGTGTAAGCAATAAGGAAAATGTGTAGACGTTACTTTATGTTTCAAGATGTAACTTCGGGTAATCCCATTACGTCACAGCGATTCGTTTCAGCGTGTGGGACGCGTGATAAATATGTATCGATGGAAATTATACATCCGCGATGAATCCAAATCGCTATCGCCGCCGTCCTCCTCCGGTTGCGAATATTACAAAGTACAATGGCGCCGGGGGTCCCGCAAACCGAAGTGGAAACACCCGTAAATATTTATCGTTCAGTCGCGCCAAATGAGGACGGGTCTCGTTCTCGTTCGAGAGCGCGGGAGACGCGATTCTATCCGCGGAATCTGCACGCCAATCCTCCGCACTTACGATTACATCGGTCCGCCGTCCAACAACGGCGGATGAAAACAGGTTAAATATTTATTGAAGTATAGCGGAGGAGACTACAAGCCGCCTTTTGTACACAATTACTCGAGGCCGGGGCCAGCGCTCGAGTTCTCTGAGGTCGCGCGCCGAGAAGAGGCGACACGTCGATCGATCGGTTTTCTTCCCTTTACTCACCGTGAGTCAGCTGTTATCTGGTCCATACTATTATAAGGAGTATACACACTATACGGGCAAATACGGTGTTTTTTTTTTTTTTTTTTTTTTCACGCGTTAGGCCACCCCGAGTAATGCGCTTAACACAAATGCGCTTAACACAAATACCGTTGCCGAAATAACCGGAGGGTCATGAATATGATATGCCATAGGCAACACTTGATGGCGCACGCAGCAACTGAACAGTAAACAATGGAATTAAATATTATTAAAAGTCAAAAATATGGGTTATACATATTACTTTAACATAGTAATTTTTTTTTAAATCTCAATACGTTAATAATATCAATGTACATTTATAATCACATTTGCTCTATTCTCGTACTATGAGTTTTTGGAGAGATTGTTGCATAATTTACATGAAGCATTTTTGAAATAAATTGCTCCTTGGGATGATAAAGGAAGGTCGAAAATGAGGTGGAAATTGTACGGGGGAGAAACGTCTTTTATGATTGCCAATCACGCGATAACTGACGAAAGGAAAAAATATCTCATATATCACTTTTCATATTTTTTCTTTACTTCCCGAAAATCTCGCACATTTCTCGTATCCCTTTGTAGTGATTCTCGTGAAATAAATTGCTCGCGAGAGCCCCCGTGAAGAAAAATTCTCGCCACC